ACTTATAAGACCGAGTTGTTTTTTATTCCGTACCTTGACCCAACGGTACGATTAAGATTTATTATAATGTTTTATGATGACAAAAGAAAATTCTTAACCAAATTACGTTACATTTTTTTTTTCTTTCTTTTTGGGTTTTATTTTCTTTTGTTTTTCTTTTTTTTTTTTTTTTTTTTTTTTTTATCCAAGGAACGTTACTTTTCAATATAAAATAGGTGACACAATTACTCTATCGTTTCTATTAGAAGATGGAAATGAATGAAATATATGCTTTATATTTTATTTTATTGTACGTCAATTATTTAATACGTACAATTTAATACGCGGTCACACCTTGGAGGGTTAGTAAAATTAAAACTTAATTTGGTAGGATCGAATTATGCAATTACTGTATTGGTATCCGTAGATGAAGTTAGTCACGTTTTCGCGAATACGTGACAGAGATTCAAATGAAGTTTGTGATGTATATGCAACTAGTTTCGTTTCACGATCATTATATGAGACATGTAGAAGGAATTTATAATTAGTTACATATAAGCGTTAATAAGAATTGCTTGTTATCTACGTAGTACAATCAATCATTCCCATAGATTTGATCGGAACGGATATGAAAAAGAAAAAAGAAAAAAAAAACAGAAAAAAAAAAGAAAAGAAAAAAACTCGAGTCACGTATTTGTCCCACATAGATTGACGTTAAATGTTCAATTAGTGAAATATAAAAAATATCTAAATGGAAAATAATTCTTTACATTATAACAAACTTCACTATATATTAACGATACGTTTTTTTATTATTTTTTTTTTTTTTTTAATTTTTAACTTTTTCAAACGAAGTAACGATCGATATAATAATAATAATAATAATAATAATAATAATAATAATAATAATAATAATAATAATAATAATAACAGTAATAATAACAAAAATAATAATAGTAATAATATCGCTATATATTTACGATACGTCTTTTATTTTTCCTTTTTTTTTATTTTTCTAAACGAAGTAACGATCAATATAATAATAATAACAATAACAACGATGATATAATAATAATAATAATAATAATAATAATAATAATAATAATAATAATAATAATAATAATAATAATAATAATAATAATATGAGAAGTGATTAAACGTTATTTTCGTTTATTAGAATAACTTTTTGGAAAAATTCTTATCACAGGACATAAAGCTACATATAGTTCGCGAATGACTGGTATTATCGGACGTTTGTCGGTACATTTTGCAGTGTGCGTTTTGTACGATAGTAATAAAACTATGAGAGTGGGGACATCGAATAGGCCAGAGTGGGGACACAATAGTGTATCGTACAGGGAGCTTGCGCGCCGCATTGCACGGCCGCAGTCGAGTCATTATGCAGGTACTGCCTGTCACTTTGGCTCGTCGTGACCGCAGACCGACGTCGCCGATTCGAGTTTCTCTCTCTCTCTCTCTCTCTCTCTCTCTCTCTCTCTCTCTTTTCGTTTCCCCTCTTGTTCACCCTCATTCTCTTTCTCTCACTCCCTCTCATTCCCTTTCTCTTTCTCTTTTTCTCTCTCTCTCTCTTTTTATGTCTCTCTCGCTTCCTCTTTCATCTGATGTTCCAGCGTTTCTGTCATTGATACCATTGACGAGTCATTTAATATGTTATAATGCCATTAACGATTCTTTTTGACATACGATCGAAGGTTAAACAAAGAGCACGAGATACTTACTCGATATCCGAGTTAACGTTTAAATAGACCTTAATCCTCCCTTTTCACGGGTTAAACATGCATTGAAAAGAACAATCTTTTCTCTTTTGGCATCTATTAAATTTTCCCTTCAATGAAATGTTATTTTTTACTTTTTTAATCTTCATTCATCATTCCTCTCTCTTTTTAATCGATATCGTTATACGAAAAAAATATCGATTGGAATAGTTTCTCTCTCTTTCTCTCTCTCTCTCTTTATTTTTTCTTTTTTTTTTTTAATCAAATTATATAAATAATTCTATCTTTAATTAGATTCATAACTTCAATCATCGTGCATAAGCTCGATGTTTTTCTTACAAATAGGGTAGAATCGACGGTGACGTTAATAATATATTGTGGGTGCGATCGAACGAGGTCGATTGTTTAACTAATTGGATGCGATATGTGGTCACGCAAAAGTGCATCGATATTATGTTTCGGAGGAATGAATACTTATGTGTAAACGTGTATGATCATATTACATGGAATGTCATGGTTCAATGTAATTCAAATTGAATATCAAGTGAAGGGATGATGGAAAAGGGTTGCGGAGAGATGGGAAGGGTTGAATCATAAATCGTCAAATCAATGAAACGTTTCGAATCTTTTTTTAGGATCGAATTGCGTGACTTGCACGCTCTGACCTTTAAGATTTCTTTTACAAGGTCTATTTGTTCATATACGGATATTGTATATGTCCACGATGGTTCTGTGTATACATGTGTTAGTATAAAAGCAACTGATTCACGAGTGGCTCGTTTTAC